AAGCTTATCAAAACCCCAAAACCCCAAAACCCCATCCTAAAAATTTTGAAGAAAAATAAAATTATATTAAATTCAAGCAAATAATCTATTTTAAATTTTCTTTAAACTTCAAATTCTTCCAAGATCAGTCTTTGGTCTGTCTTAGCCTATTGATAAGCTTTTTCTATCTTAAGATTTATTCACTTTTTTAGAGTTGTTAGATTGGCCAATAGCAGCTTTAAGTAATTATTGATTACTATGATTTCTACTTGTCAATGGATGATATTGTTTAGTGTCGCCTTCTCTAGCTACATCCTCTTCATCAATTTTCTATGAGCTCTCCATTAAGTGTTTAAATTTCTTCAATTTTTAGCCCTCCAAAAAGGTTCCAGTCTTATTTGCAGTAGCTTTCAATGAATTTGGACTCATTAAATGCTTATTACTATGGGATCTGGTTACTGAGCTTGGAGCCAGCCAGCCACTTCCTGTAACATTCATTGATTCTTTTTCATCTTAAGAATTTTCAAATATTCTAGGTGTGGTTATCTCATTATCCCCTTTTCCATTCAATTAGAGCTATTTATAGTGGTCAATAACAGCTGCTTTTCTGTGATAAGTAAAGCTATTCTTTTGATTTGATGTTCTGGCTGTTGAGCATGACCTGTTACTATTGAGACCTTATGATTATTGATGCTAATTGATTTAAGCTTTCAAAAATATTTTAGGGATATCAGGCAAAGGTACAATATTTAAAGTTGAAACCTTATCATCCGTATTAAATGGCTAAACAGTGGAAAATGGAGAGTTAACTCTCTAAGTCTCAGAATAAAATGTCTTTTGCATAACTTGCTTGTTAAGGAATTAGTCTTTTAGTTTAGGTATCATTGATTGGATGTCATCTTGAGGTGAGTCAGTTATTTTTGACATATTTCCATAGCTTTATTGATTACTAAGTATTTTCAAGAAACCTCCACTTAAATCTCTATAGTCATTCTTTGTATTCTCAAAAGCTTAATGGAGCTGTTCATTTTCTTGCCTCATCTTATTTATTTCAATAGCTAATGGCTCTCTTAATTTATCAAGCTCGAATTCCACATTTTCTCTAAGCTTTTTGAGCTCTTATGCTATCTTACTGATTTTCTTATCATACTCTTAAGACTTATGTTCAATTTTAGTTCTCATATCGTTCATTTTAAAAGTCTCAGATTCTAGTTTATCCAGGATTTATCGCCTCATTTGCTTAAGCAATTCTATTTCCCTTTGCTGAGTTTCAGCATTCACTTCTAGTTTCATCAACTTTTGTGAAAAATCATCATGATCTCTTTATCCTCTTTCAGATAACCTTTTCTACTCCTATCTAAGATTAACTAGAGATTCCTCAAGTTTCTTGTTTTTTTCAAACAGGGATTTTTATTCTTTTTATGCTTGGCTGTAATGCTCCTCCATTCTTTATTAATCCTATCTAGCTGTTTCAATGAAATCGTTGACATTTTTCACATGATTTAAGCTTTCTTGGACCTATTTTCCTTGGGATTGCAATTCTTTTCTTAGAAAATCTATTTAATTCAGTAGGTTTTATGAAATTTGCTCATGCGTTAAAATTTTATCTCCAATCTCATTATTCTGTACTTAAAGGTAGCTTGCTTTTTCTTTTAAAGGGATTTGATTGGGGGCCTTTCCTTCATATCTTCTTTTTACTAAATTTAGATAGTCCTCACCATACCCATGTTGGTTAATGTGCTTCTTGACCTTGAACTACTTTTTTTCATCGTCTATTGAATTTTCAATTGGATTTTTCATGCTTGAAGCCAAATTTTCAAGCATAAAGTCCTCAAGACTCTTTATTTTTTGTTCCATACCAAGAAGTTCATCAGATTTAGCAAACCTTGCGATATCTGACTAAGTCCTCTCTAGATCCGCAACAACTCTATTAAGCGTTTCTCTCATATGAGATGATCCCGAATCCTGTGATTGCAGCATTCCGTTAAGCTACATATCGATCTATAGAATTCTTTCTTATGCTCTTTACAGATCAGTAAAGTTTGCTTTGCATTTGATATAATCATTGACCTCCTATTTATTTGCTTTCATGTCAACTATTACGCAGAGCTTATTTTCCATTTTCTCTAGTTTATGTTAAAGTTTAAGGAATAGATCTTGTTCAAAAATGTCTAGCTTTGTGTTGATTTCATTTGAGTCCATAAACTTAGAAATTTTGTAGTTAATATTGCTCATTTTTTCATCCTGCTTATCAAAAATAGTTTCCAATCTTCGAATCTATAAAATCTATGAAGTTTTTTGTCACTTACAAATGGGAGGGTATCCTGAATTTCAATCATTTTTTGCATGAGATCTGCTAACGGTACCATCTTTTAAAACTTAGCTGTACATTCATGTAAATTTCTAAAAATAATGTCTTACGATTTTCTTCTTTTGTAATATAGATATCCTCTCCTTAAACAATCAAACTCTTTTAGCTTCCGTTTGTAGAAGAACTGGGTACTGAGGAGGGATTTTAAATTTTTCGTGAGTTATCCATCAATGAATAATAATAATATTTAAGAATTAATTTAATTGGAAAATAAAAAAGTTAATTGAGTATAGAGATATCTCTTAATATGGTTAATGAGATATAATTTTATCTGCAATTTTGAATGCGAATAATCTTTCTAAAGGCACAAGATACTTGCTATTAATCATTCGTTTTCATAGTTCTTGTAATTTGAAATATTGGCTCACTAGCTTTTCTGATTATTAAATCTTTTCCTTCCCTTTATCTATTTCGCTCCCTTGTTATTTAAAGCAGACTCATTGATAAAGGAATCCTGCTAATTTTGAGTGTAATTCATAGTCGTTGGATTATTGGGGTTTTGTGTTTCAGTCATTTAGATGGTTGTTAGGACTGAACTGTTTTAGTTTTGAACTGGTACAGCTTTCTGGTCTCTAACTTAAGCCATTCGTAAGCCCCTATCGAAGTTATTGTAAAGTGAGGTAGTTTTCTGCTTTGTAGGATGACTTATATTTGCATTTGCACTCTAATTTATTATTTATACATTATTGTCCATGTCATGAATGTTAAGTTGATCTATCTACTAAATCTTGACTTCTTCGTAGCTATCTTAAATCATTTCTATTCTTCTCTATTCTTCCTCATCGGCATCTTGATATCTGCTGAGAGAAAACACAGATGGCTCTCTGTTAGTGTGCTAAGGACTCATTAATTACAATTTAGGAAATCCAGTTTCACTTTTTACACTTGGCATATGTCCTCTTTTCTTTGTTGCATGATACTAGCTAATCAAATCATTTGGATCTTATATCATCATTCTATTGACTAAGTTTTCATTATCTTCTCGCATACTCTTAAGCTACTGCTCCTCATCAAAATGGTTTCTTTGACTGTTAAGATAACTTAATGGATTTCTGGAGGTGTAACCATTTGCTCTCTAAGATTCTTGTGATTCATTAGCGTTATCCTTGTCCTCCTCACTATCCTCGTTGAGAACATCTAGATTATTAATGTTTTAAGATCCGCTCATTACTCCTTAAAATTAAATTGGAGGAATGGCATTTTGACTGTGATTATGCTCGCTGCTTTATAATAGCATGTTTGGGATCTATGCTGTACTATTGACTCTTACAGCACCTTCCCTTAATCCTCTTTAATTATTCATCTATTGTACAAGATTATTAACTATTTACTATCTATTTTCTGAATCGACTCTTTCAGGTTAAGTTACAAATTCTATCGCAACTGATATTTACCTATCCTCTCTAATTTACTAAGTTGCATGCTAACTAGCTCTTATATCATGAAGTCTTTACTATGAAGTAATCGCAACATCTTAATCATTAGCCTCCTCTTATTCATAATCGAATCGCCTTCCAGGTGGATCAATATTCGACAACTAAGAAGCGTCCATTGATGCAATTGGCTGCTGTTAAGATTAATTTCTCACGTGAGCAGTTTGTCCTTCATTTAGTAGCATTTGCTTCATACTAGAATTTGCTCTACCTTTCATATTTCTTATTGAATCGAACATTAATTGAAATTCTGATGGAAAGTATTTTGCCACTTCATCATAGTGAAGGCATTATTCGGTCCTTTTAGATTTTTACAAACTATAAATTAAAAGTTAAGCATATTTAATTAACTTACGCGCAAAAACATCTTTGCAAGCAAGAAAATCTGTTAATCGCAAATATTACAGTAACTGTTCTTCCAATTTAAATATAGATCGGTTAGTTTAATCCAACTTAAAGTGGCTCAGTTAATTAGACTAGCGTTCCAAACTTGGACTAATTATCTTGAATTATCACATCCCCTCGTTTGTTTAATTTAATTAAGGTATGAAATCTGCTAACACTAATATCAGTAATTCTGACCTCTGCATTTTATCCTCTACCCTAAAGTGTTATAGTCGAATGATTGAAACTTACAACTCGTACTTTTTTCTTAGCGTTAAAATTTATTACATGAATAGTTTTTGAAGTAGTATTGGTGACAGATTCAATGATCATATAGCTATGGGCATCTTCATGAACATTATACTTTAATAAACTCATTACTCTTCCATCTTTCAATGTTATCATGTCATTGTATGATGATTTGCAAATCTCACATTCAAGATTTTTCCAGATATATGAATTAACATAGGGAGTCTCTTTCATGTGTTTTTTGCCCTCTAGCCACTCTCTCAAACACTCAAAATGAATATATTTCATGGATCCAGTGCAGTTACAAGGACTGATCATTGGATTCTAGGCATCCTCTTCTGATAAACAAATTTTGCAATTAATTGCATCAATAGATTTAGTCATACTATTTTGGTGATTGATGATGACTTATTTGAGCTTTATATCTTGCTCATTCTATTTCAAGAATCCAGCTTCAAATGAAACTGGTCTGTTGTCGAATCCCACTGTTTCTTTATGGAAATTTTAAGTCATCCTAGTATCAGGTTCAGTGCCGTTATTACCTTCGTTTTCAGTTGTTAATAATCTAAGATTATTATTAGTCAAAGAGTGGTCAATGTTTGCTGGGTTAATTTTCTAAGGGATATTTGTGATATCATTTTGCTCTGCATTTAAGTCAATGTCACTTTTATCTACCACTAACTTCTTTATTTGAAATCTTACTCTACCAAACTTAATAGTGTCTCCTTAAACAACTTTATATGTGTTTTATTTGCCAGTCGTAAATTATTCATACTTCACTATTCGCCATACTCGATCTGCATGATTTTTGAAAGTGTCATCTTATAGACTTTTAGAGTGATACATCCAATAACAGCCTTGTTTATACACGAGACTGAAAAGATTTTAATAATCTTCTTGATTATCCACATTAGGCAAAAGGGCTTTTAGCTCTTACTCAACTCTTGACAAAATAACTAAATATTAACAAAGCAATAAGTCGATGATGAATTTAGAAAATGTTTAATTAGTGATAAAACTTACTGCAGCCAGTGCATTTCATGCTTTATCGTACAATGGTTTTACTTTCGTAATCAAATAACCCATGAGAATCTCTATCCCAAATAAAAGCTTCTACTTAAACTCTACATTCAATTACTTTATTTATAATAAACTTACGACTGCAAGATAGGTTCATTTATTTCATCACTATTAATAGTCCTAGCGGGGGCCATTGCGACCCTCTTATTATTCTTAATTGACATCTAATGATAATTAAATTCGGAATTATAATCTCATTGAAATAATAAAATAACTGAGAAAGCTTAAATTAATTTAATGAGTGGATTAACCAGCTAACTTGTTGAGGGCCTTAAAACAAAGGACAAAGTCTATGGGGGTTTATCTATTGAGATAAATATGTCTCAACTGAGCACTGTTGATAATCTAGATCAGTTCGCATAGGCTTAATAAATTTCTAGTCTGGATTTCTCTGTAAATATGCTTTTAGAGATTGAACCTGTATTTTTAAGACTTAGCAATTTAAGACTGCTAAATTTAAGTATTAATCATATAACTGAAATTAGAAATCTTGAAGAGTGTATCAATCTTGTAGAACTTAATCTATCAAAGAATTAGATAGGGGTGATAAAGAATTTAGAAAACCTAAGAAATTTAAAAGTGCTTGACTTAAGTATGAACAGAATTCTGAGAGTCTAGAATTTTGAGAATCTAACATAACTGGAAAAATTGATGATCTATGGCAATAATATTGAATACTTAGAGGGTCTTGATTCAATGAACAATTTAAAAGAGCTTTTAATCCATAGAAATAGAATCAGATCGCTTAATTACTTAGCAATGCCCAATCTACAATCATTGGTAAAAATAAATGCAAGTTATAACCAACTGGCTTAAAGTGAATTGGATAATATAGCTCATGTAACTCTTCACCTCTATAATTTAAAGTAGCTAGACCTCTATGGAAATGATGTATTTAGCTCTCCAGCTTACAAATATAGAATCACAGAAAACTCATCTCTTGAGAAGCTTGATGGTTTAGATGTGAAGGGAGTTGTTAAGGACAGATTAGATAGGTTAAGAAAGGATTGGCAAGTGAACTACTTAATTGAGGAAACAAGTGAAGAAGCAAAAAAGTGGATAGAGGCCGAAAGAGAACTCAAAGGGGCTGCATTAAATATTCTTGCAAAGAAATAAGAGAGAATAACTTAGGAATTCGAGAGCTACAAGAAAACAGTAGATGAGTAAGCATTTCATTTTTTATTTCATTTTAGTGATGTATTGAACTTTATTACTTACATATCAGATTTGAAGTAGCAACGAAATCAAGGAGTCAGTGATAAGATTACTTTTGAAAGTTTAAATAATTGGAGACATAATATAACGTACCAAGAAAATTAGAGACTTGACATGCTTGAAGACTCACTAAGGCAACTAGAAGATAAAAGAAAAGAAGAAATGGAGGAAGTTGTAACAACGACTCACTTCCTGGATAAACTTCATGAAGTCTCAATGTAGAAGCCTGATATTTGGAATTACATGAAAAATGAAGAATACAAAAACTCAAAACTAGATCAAAACAGGAATACACCAAAGTTGCCTAACTAAAAGTTGCTTAGCTTTCAAGCAAATAACAGAGGAGTAGACAATATGCTCAAATCAGGTATTAGAGCAACTGGAAATCGCTTTAAAAATGATGTATAGGAAGAGAACATTGTAAACAAGGACGACTTTACAGATTAAGCAAATAGAGAGTTACAGCTTAAAGAGAACTTTGAAAAAAACTCTTAGTACTTTAGTTAATCTAAGAGAGGGAAAAATATGAACTAGTCAGGAAATTTGTAACCAATGAGCCCATAAAAATATGAAAATGATATTGGCAACCCTAATAATATTTCGTATAATAGAGGGTAAGGCAATAGCTTTCTAGAATAATTTAAGAGTGACCCTGCTCCACTAAATGCTTCAATTAACAATAAAAATCAGAGCATTAGATAGAAATAAATGCCCATTCCTATTGAATTTTAGGATCCTGATAACTAAACTATAGCCAAAGCTAGTGGTAATCCTGTGAGATAATAGCCAGGATAATCTGGAATTAGAGCGTCTCAGCAACCTCCATAAGCAAATAAAGACGCAAAATCTTGTTTAATATTTTGAATTAATGATTTATAAATGCATAAAAACATTATCAGTAATTTGACTCTTTTGGGGTTTTGGGGTTTTGGGGTTTTGGGG